CTTTAAGTTAATGTGACAGGACTTTGTTCTATACCCGCTATCTCTCTCACTCTTCCAGTGTCTGTGTTCCCACTCTCCCCCTCCTCCCTCATCTCATCCACTTTCATACCAGCTTGCTTTCATATTAATTTTTATGACCTGCGCTTTGAGGAGGGTTCTCTGCTCTCCTCAGCGCTGCTCGCCTTTGGAAAAAAAAATGTTTTTTTAGATCCTGAGAGTTGCCTGACAGAATTCCCCACTGACACCAGTTATGCGCACTCTTGCTTGCAGCTCCAGGGCAATATATTCGGAGGCTTTGATGAGAGCCTGCTGGCACGGGCAGAGGCTCTGGCGGCTGCTGACAGCATTGTCTCTCACGGCAAGAGTCACCCGTTCAAACCAGACGTGACGTACCATACCATGAACAGTGTCCCCTGCACCTCAGTCGCCTCTTCTGCCTCCACCACCGTGCCCATTTCCCACATCCCATCGACCCTCGCAACCCACCATCACCACCATCACCTCGGACAGAGCCTGGAGGCCGGGGACCTCCTGGACCACCTCTCCACCAGTCTGGCCGTGACGGGGATGGGTGCCCAAGAACCCCCAGGGATGACAACGACGGCTCACCATCACCAGCACCCGCACCACCACCTGCAGACCATGGGGCAGCTTCACCAGGCGATGGCCACTATGGCACATCCGCACTCGCTGTCAATGCACGGCGGCATGGCGTGCGTCAACGACGTGGAGTCAGATCCCAGGGAGTTGGAAGCCTTCGCGGAGCGTTTTAAGCAGAGGAGGATCAAACTCGGGGTGACCCAGGCGGACGTCGGGTCAGCGCTGGCCAACCTCAAGATCCCTGGAGTGGGGTCACTGAGCCAGAGCACCATTTGCAGGTTCGAGTCCCTCACCTTGTCTCATAACAACATGATTGCGCTCAAGCCGGTTCTCCAGGCCTGGCTGGAGGAAGCGGAAGCTGCTCACCGGGAGAAAAGTAACAAGCCGGACCTTTTCAACGGGAACGAGAGGAAAAGAAAGCGCACTTCCATCGCGGCGCCGGAGAAGCGCTCTCTGGAGGCGTACTTCGCCATCCAGCCCCGGCCTTCCTCAGAAAAAATCGCGGCCATCGCAGAAAAGCTGGACCTGAAAAAGAACGTGGTTCGAGTGTGGTTTTGCAACCAGCGGCAAAAACAGAAACGAATGAAATACTCTGCGGTGCACTGAGGTTTTTTCTTCCTCTCATCATGAATAAAATAGCCTACTACATTTTTGATCGAGTGATTAATAATAGCCTAACAGGGATTTATCATCAACTCTTTGGGTCTGGTCCGGGAAAAGTCTCCACAAAAATACTCCGCTGTTTCTTTGAACGTTTCTTTTTGTGTCACTCACTCGTTGCACTTTTTAGATTTTTGATATTGGACTTACAGACACGTGAGGAGATGCTGATGTCATTTATCCACACTACAGGGAGTCGATCATAGTCGATTCTGCCCTGACAGATCCACACATTCAGGATCATTTAGTTAAACTAAATGGATTTCAGGTTTTCAGGATTGTTGATGTTAAAGCGTTGAAATTCCTTCATTAAGAAAGACGACGGATTTGTGGTTCTGTGAAAATGAGTTGTAAGTTGAATTCCTTTTGTATGGCTGGTTTAAGTCAGAAACGACTCTCCACTATGCAGTAGTAAACACGTTGAACTGTCATTTCACCTTCCTCCGTCCTACTTTTCTGACTTAAACACAACCAACTCCACGTTTTCGCTCCTTTAAAAACTTCTTTATTTAAATCTACACAAAAACACAGGGTACAAGTGCTTTTCTCTTGTTGATTTAATAATAATTATAATATTATTAATCGTAACAACATTGTCACGAGGCACATTCGTGTGGCTTTTGGTTGCTGCTATATTTTAATATTATTTTGATGTGAATATATTTACGTTATCTGTATATCGTCGTGTGGCCCACACAGTATAAAGGCCTACGTCACTCACATTTAATCTAAATTAAATCGTTATCCGCATTGTTGTATCACGATTAATGTCACTTAAAGAAGGTGTGAATATTGAACTGAATAAATTATTGGACATTTTTAAAAATCCTCTCGAGTCGACAGAGAATTGTTTTTATCTGGAACAAACGGAAATAACTTGAGAGTTTGTTAAAGGGAAATGGAAGACGAAAGAGAGAATTGTTGTTGTTTTTTTTTTAATTATTTATGAATTCCTAACCCTCTGGAATGAAATATGTATCTGTGTCTCCTATGATATACCATACAAGCGGCCGGGGGAAACGCGGGGCCTCGACGTTCACCGTGGTTTTCACACTGTGGAGCGCACTTCCACGTGTGTACCCTGCACTGCTGCTAATGGCCCCTTCCTGTCTAATTAGCGCCGTTTTAATTATGAATGCCCCCCCCTCTCCTGCCCCCTCCATGTCACACCAGGTTATGTCGTGTGTGGGCTTCGAAATTATTAAGTAATGACGATGCAATATTAATCGTAGAACGGTATAAAGCGGACTAATGTGGAGGAACAGAGAGCACAAGACTGACTAGTACTGACCGGAGACTCTGGGGACACACAACAGGTGGACACCAGGGGGGAAAACACGGACTGAACCTTTATTTACTGCGCGTATTTGTTGTTTATTATTGTATATTATTATGAATGCGGCCTTCTGGGATGAGTAAGTATAGCTTTACACACATGTTCTAATCTTAATGCTGTCACCATAATTGCATGTATTATTATCGTTATTTTTATTATTAATTATTATTATTGCTATTTTATTATTATTATTGTTATTATTACTCACCCAGCGAGACTGTTAACGTCAGAGATTTGACGTCTCCCCATTTTAAGAGCGAAGGTTTCCCGCACTTATTAACATTCTCTTTGATGCTGGTATTGGATTATACTTTAAAAACGACGTCAGAGAAAAAGAGGGTTACAATGACAGTGATTATTATATGTTTCCTCAGCTCGGACTCAGGTGTTTCTGACACAAAGGTAGAGTTAACTTTTCTACCGTGTGAATTATTGATCTGTGTAAAGCTCCTAGTATTGATATCATAACGTTTTGGCTGCAGTCGTTGGTAAGGTGAGCCTCAGCAGCATGCGGTGACTGAGGGCATTTCAATAATTCAGCAGCAGCTCACAGGTTCTATTGCATTTTCTCCCGCAACAATGGAGACGTGTTGCCTTCACATGCCAGAGACGAGAAGAAAATAAAATCATTATTTACTTTTTTCAAATGTAATTTAGAGTCTGGCTTGAAGCACAAAACTATTTTTGTTGTTTACTTTTTGAATGAAATGCTTACACTTTGATTACATGTTTGATTTTAACTTCACAAATCAAATGTTCTAATTCCTGACACGGTACATCAAATTTTGGGGCATAATTTGGGAAAATTTAGATTTAGGTTGGATCTCCGACGATTGTTTTAAAACTCTTATTAATTCGGTTATAAATTATAATCTCTGATTTTACCGTTAAGAAAAGATGAACTTCTTAATTCCATAATGCGGACATAAATCATGTATATTCTGACTTTAATTTTGGACGTAAAATTCCAAAATCAAACTCTAATTTGACCAAACTTTTATCATTTAACCTAAGTAAAAAAAAGTAAAAAAGTTTAAGACGCAATACTTTCCCAATATCTGAACTTCCAGAGAAAAAGGGAACTCTCAGGGGGAATAAATATTTTATGAAAACAGAAAAGAACAAAAAAATAAAAACATGCAGGGGGCGGCACAGTGGAGTGTGTGTGACGAACAGAGAGAGAGAGGGAGAACAGAGAGGGACGTTTTCATGCAGAGAAGAACATCTTTGACAGAATGAGGATGAAAGAGCTGTGTAATTGCTGAAGAACGCACGCACGGACCTACACGGGCACGCGCACTGCACCCCCACCCTGACAGAAAAAGACACCCCGAACTCAATAATTCATCAGGTGCCAGTAGCAACAAATGTGAATGTGACCAGAGCGAAGGGAGAGACAGCTCTGTGTTCGTCACCTTCTATTTTCATCACAAGCCAAAGGAGCTGAGGACTGAGCCACGGAGGAGCTGAACACAGCTCTACCTGTGGACACACACGCACACACACATAGATTGTGTTACTTTCTGGAAACCTGAGGACAAGGCTGGTGTCTTTCTTTTGAAGAAAGTCACACAGCGTCCTGTTCTACGTGTCCCCTGCCCTGGACTACATTCCTAATGAAGAAGGAAACATGACGGTGGTCAGAAAAAATATTTATCTTTTTTTTTTTTTTGGGGGGGGGGGTCCGTTAATCAAATTAAAAGGTGAATTAGGGGATTTAAATTATCTATATATAAAATGAATTAATATATAATCAGGACTAATAAGCAGCTGCTTTCCAGTACTATGTGTATTTTTAATGTATCACGTGTTTTTCGGGTATTTGCCTGTTGAAAACTGCGTATGACACCAAATAAAGGCCGATAACAAAGAGACGTGTCTGTCTGTGTCTAGGTTTGAAAATAGATGAATACAAATGACGGGAACTCCTGTGATTATTTTAATACAGATAATCCTAATTTCAATGGCTAACTGTTCACTATAGTGTATTCATGTTTGACCTTAGTAAAGGCTTAAAAATAACAGTGAACCTCCAACAGACAGGAGCAGGGTGGGAGGGGCCGTGACGCACTACGTCAGAGACACTTAGAGAATCTCACTTGCCTAATTCCTTCCTCAGGCCTGAGGAAGAAGTATTACACCCCCCCACACACACACACACACCCCATTCATTATTCAAATCCGCTCCATTATCAAAGTGCCCAGAGATATAAGATTAGCCCAGCCAGAAATAACTAACTGTGGCGTGATTCTCTTTCACTTTTATTTTTTTACAAAGCACTTAGCTGGTCAGGTGCAGGTCTGCACACATATTAAGATTACGGCATAAAGTCTGAACATAATAATCCTCTTCAGGAAAATGGGAATGTAGTGTAGTGAGACTGGGTGCAGGGGCGGGGTCAAAGGGTGAGGAGAAGGGGGGGGGGGGACAGAATAAAGAGACAGAGGGATGTAGAGGCTGGTGATGACTAAATGCAGGTGAACTTTGAACATTCAATTAAACAGTTAAACTACGATGAAGGAAGGCCAGGCAAACCAAAAGACAGTTGCTGAAACATTCGCACAAAACTCTACTTTGCTAATGCACCTTAGCCTTTGTTTATAGTCTCTCCATCATGAAATAGATATATCCAGGCCAGTCATCACATTTAATTACCAGACAAAGTCTGTCAGTGGAAACGCCTGGTAAAAGAAGGTTCAAGTGACTTACAACGCTGCAGTTGTAAATAAAAACAGGAAAACGAAGCACAGAAAAAAAAAAACCAAGGTTCACGTGTGTCTGTGATTCTGATGGTTTGGATTCAGTCCTTTTCACTCACAGTAAGGCTGAACAGTCTGACACTAAGTGCCTGTGAGAGCAGGAGCACACACTGATCCTACTGTACAGATAGGAGGAGGTGGGGAGCCCAGTCTCCACAGTCACACACCTCCTTATATTGTAAGCTCTACACTTCATTATTTTTAAACAAATTAAATGTGTAAACAAAAAGTCCCAGCATATCACATTATCATCAACAATATTGCCAAAATACTCACTGACATATTAAGTTAGGGCTAGACTTATGTGCTTACGTGCAATTCCTGGCCGCATCCATTTCTTATATTTGGTCAATGGAAATCACACGCTTGTATTTTATAAGTAATTTACAGGGTTTTTTTATGGTATTTGGAAGGAAACTGGAGTATCTGGAAAACCCAAAGTACACACAAGGAAAACATGCAGACGCCACAACAAAAGACTGGGGATTAAACCAGTGATATTCATGCTTTAAGGCAGGAGCACCAACCACTGTTCTACTGCGTGGATAACAATTATTGCTTTTGCTTCAGAATACGACCACAATTAGGGTAAAAATCATGCAAATCAGGCAAGGGGGAAAAAACAAAATTCAAATTACTGTTGACGTGCTCTGTAAGATATGCTGCACTGGCCGTGGACACAGGGGACGACAACTACAGCAGTGTCACTGTCAGTGGATTGTCTGCCGCATGCTTCCTCTCTCCCTCCCTCTACTGGGCTGTGCCTTTGAAGACAGACATGAAAACCAAGCCAGGCCACAGTGGGGCCCCTGAAGCAGGTCCCCCAGCAGATGCAGCCACTCACCCTCCCCCTTCTTCTTCCGTTGGCCCCAGGCAGTGAAGACAGCCCCGAGGCAAATCAACCAGGAGCACAAAAAAAAAAAATTAAAAAAAAATAGCTGAGCAGGGTTGAACATCTACATCTGTGTGTGTGTGTGTGTGCAGATCAAGAGGGGAAAATGAAAGACAATCATGGAGCTGATCTAAAGGTTCTAAGGTCAATTTGGCCTTTCACACATCTGAGGATAGGTATGTTACAGCAACAACTCGACAAATTGAACAGAAAACATTGTCTAAGAGGTGCATGAAATATCACAAAGGACCATGTGGGCCTAAAAACTGTACACTGTAAAACACTTAAAAAGTAATTTTACAGGAAATATTCTGTAAATTTTTTACAGATGTTTTCCAATAAAACAATGAAATGACAGTAGATTTACAGATATTTCTAGTAATTTTATCTGTTTTAAAATTACAGTTAATTATCCATAATGTAAGATTACATTAATAGTATGTTTAAATGTCAATTTTACATTTTTACAGGTTTATCACCATTTTCCATAAGACAGTTACTGTAAATTTATAGATACTAGAAGTAATTCAAATATTTATCTTTAGAATTACATGTTATTATAAATAACATATTACATGATAACTATGTTATTAAAGGCAACTTAAACATTTTACAGACTTTCCTAATAGTTGTAATGAATAAATGTATATAAAATAACAGAATAATAATCTGTAGTTATTTCCACAAAATTCCAGGTTATTTCGCATGCGTGGTTTAAGTGATTTCATGTTTTGGAACAGTTTTACGAACAAATTTTACATGATATATCATATAACATTTATTCGTAAAACTGTTTAAAACCTGTCTAAAAAATGTATTTTATGTCTAAAACTGTATAAAAGCATTTTATGCCAAAAAACGGTATTCATTAAAAAAGAAGAAAAGAAGCCTTTCTCTAGTTATACACACACACACACACACTACTGAACACTACACAGATACACCACCTAGAACAAGTCAACCCCTCAACTCTCACAATGCATCAAGTCATAAAATGACAGGTACAGTGTCCAAAGCATGAGGCGGTGGGAGACCAACTCAGAGCAGGCTGACAGCAGAGGGTTCAACACAAACATACATCCAGGTCACAATTATTAGTTAAATGTGTCTAAAAGCAGGGTTTTCTCATATATTCCGTCATAACAGTATGAACAGGAGCACAAACAAAAACACAAATAGACATTTCTGCTAAGGAAGAAAGTACCTTGAACAATGAAAACATGGCTACTGTTTGCAGACGAGTGCACACGGTGGCGGCAGAAATGCACCGGTGGTTTGAGCGCCGCTTGACACAAACTACTATTTTACCATGTTTTGCGATAGAAAATTCCGAGTAAAACGCACTTTTGAAGAAGCAAAGCCACTGCCCTGATTTTACAATTAACATTCCTAATTGACATTAGGAATGTTTACAGTGAGTGTGAGGGGAAAGCTGGAAAATTAAATGTAGGAAACACGTGTATGACAAGCGCAAAAACTTCCACTCTCAACACAGTGAATGTTAAAAACATTTATTTTTCTAATAACATTATAGACCCCAAACAGCTGTAAATTAAATTATATTAAATAAAACAGAATACAAACAGAATAAATATGGATCAAGGTAATAACTTCTGTGCTGTTTTTATGCCTTAAAGGTCTACTGGGATTAAATACAATTTTTATCTCATCTTCAACACAGCTGTGTGTTGTGACTTAGAAATGTTAGTTTTACTAAGCAAAAGAATAAACAAGACCAAGCCTTCAAATAATAAAAAAGAATGTCTATATTGTTTAGCTTTCGTAAAGTTCTTGCTGCCTTTAAACCTGTCTTTCTGAAATCTGAAAAAAAAAAAAAAAAAACAGAAGTTAAATATTTGACTCAGGTCTTCAGGTTCAGGTTTCCTTAGAATCCAGTCCGTTGCGGAACAACATGGTTTTGGCCCACTTTGACAGGTCCCTCATCAGGTTTTTCATCAGAATGGTTGTGTTTGATAGGCTCATATTCTCAAGTTCCTCAGTACAGTTTGTCTGTAAAAAGAGGAAAACATCAGTCGTACTCTGTGAAAACACACTGTCCATATATTCTAGAAAAGTCGCAATTCTTACTTTTGAATGATTGGAAATTTGTTGCAGCTCTCGCATAATCTTCTCCTTCTCCGAAAACTTGCAATCGCTGTCCTTTTTCAAGATGTCGCTCACTTTGCAGAGGTATTTGAACTGTAACAGCAAATGGATACAAATTTACATAATTAAAGACCAGACCAGATCTCTGTGAAATTTCACAGACAGACCAGAAATGGCTTCAATTATGATACAGTCCTAGGCTTAAACTCATACAAGATGGTTCGGGTTAATATTATTGTTGTTAAAATCACCACATGTACATTCATTATGTACACAAATAAAACAACTCTCACCTCATAGACACGATCCTCAAATACACTGTTCACAAAGTTCTGCAAATATAAAATGAAAACTTATAATACGCATGTTGACCCATTTGACTGTGTTAGGTTTTTAATTTCAATTACACATAATAATGGAACTAGATGCAGTACTTACCTCACATTCAAGGGTTTTCAAATGCTCAAGAGTGGAGATGATGCTCATTAGGTTACGGGTAAGAGGATGGGAGCCGACCAGCACAACGACAGCAAACACCAGCAGGACTATTACTTTCATGATATCAGCTTTTTGGACGTAAAGTTGAGAAGTACCCTGGTTCAAGAAGTTCTTGAATGCACCTCGAGACTGTCACCCTGGAGCTCGTTGTGAGCAGTTATCAAATGAGAGGTAATTTATATTTGCTAAGCCCACGCTTCAAGTGACAACACACGCAAGATAAGATCTAGTGGTTGACTGATTCTTCACCAAAATTAAGCTACAATTCTATGAAATGGCCCTGCATTACAAAGAAAAAGGAAATTCAACAGAAGATTATTTGTCAAAGATGCTTTCACAAGTAATCTTTGGTTCAGTTTCCTTTTTTGTGTCAAGCATCAATGGTACGATCCAATAAGGAGTTATAAGTGACCCGTGTCTGTAGAAAGCTGTGGAGTCATCGTTCACCAAAGGAAAAGTCAAAGATGAGAAAGAAGCTGTATTCAATTATTAAGTTTTTTACCTTCATGACAAACAAAACACGTTTAGTAAAAATACCAAACCCGAACAATTATGGATATTTTCACAAGTGGAGGATAAACTTTGATAAACACATTTAAACCTTTCCATGTTTCCAACTGTGGAATATATGACTATTGTATTGGAAATCAAAATAAAGTATTGAAAAAACCTTGTCCGCTGTAATGAATGAGGCCTCCACTTGGTGGTGTCAGCCGTTTTTGAACACGCAGCTGCTCAGTGAAGATAACTTGTCAGTGAATTTATGCTGCACTTGGTGATCTCAGAATTCTGCTCATGGTTTTTGCGGATGCGGTAAAAGTGTTCGATGTAGCTGGAGCGGCCGAGCAGCTCCACAAAGTCCTCGTCGTGGGTGATGATCAGCAGCTGGAAGTTGCGCTGGCGAGAGCGACTTTTTATAATTCTAGGGAATCATAAAAACAGGACCAGAGGAGATGAAGAGATGATTAGAGCTTGACTACTCATGAATTGATAATTCACATTATTTTAGACCTTTGTTTAAGAAAAGTAGGTCAGGGCTAGAGCTGATGAGAACCTGATAATTCAGCAATATTTGAACTATTAACTTTGCTTACATGCAAGCGCCAAAATGTTTCTTGACATTTCTTTTACACCCAATCTTTTTCCTAGGCACCAACCCATACTGAGGTGACACTTTGGTTACAGAAAAGCAAGAGACTTTTTTTTTTCAGTTAAAAAGGTTTGATATAGTTTCTAATGTGACAATGGTGATCATTGTATATTTACTGAAACTAAATCCAGAAATACTGATGATGGTACTCTGTATCGACAAATACTCATTTGTGGAATGATGTGCAAGTGTTTCAGAAGTGTAATCCACGCCTGTGTGGTACTGACTCTACAAGTGCATGTGCCAGCGACTCGATATTCTCCCGATCCAGGTTGGTGGTGGGCTCATCCAGAGCCAGGATCCCACAGTTCAGGCAGAAGGTCTCTGCCAGAGCCAGACGGATGATCAGGGAGGCTAACACCTTTAAAACACAGAAAAAAGGTTTAGAAATGTCATACTTAAAATAAATAAATAAATAAATAAATAAAAAGACAGACAACCTTTTGACCGGCACTACAGCGCCCTCTCATGTCCAAAGTGGTGTCTCCTTTCACCATCACCACTCTGTAGTTGTAAACCCTTCTCTTCACTGCAGCAGTTGAGTTCTCGTCTACATCAGATCTGATCTCCACATATTCAATATCTGCCGTAATATAAAGAGTAATAATTTGCAGATGATTGTGGAGTAGTACTACACACAAAATTATATGTACATGAAACCGACCTTGGCCCCTGTAGGTGCTTCGCCAAAGGTCACGGATGATCTTGTTAATCTCATCCATCTTCATGCTGTGGAATTTCATAATAGATCTAAGAAGAAAAACAAAAAGACAAAACTGATTATGATTAAATAGTTTTATCTGACTTTTTATGGGTCACTCGCTGTAGAAGCACCATGACAAAAATAACTGATGTTACCAAAGTTTAAAAGAAGTCTAAAAGAATAGCTATTGTGGTCAGCTAATTTGGCAGAAGAAGTAAACTTCACACAGTTTGGCAAATGAATTGGTCAAAAAATGATTTTTCCTTCAAGACGACATGGCTCCAACAAACTTCTAAAATGATCTACAGAAGAGTAAAGTATAAGTTAATATAGAGAATAAGCTGAATATCAGGTTACAGTTCAAAATAACCTTAAAACCTAGAGGAGATCAGGATATTTTTTCTACAAAAGAGTCAAAAAATGATTTTTCCTTCAAGACATGGAGATCAGGATATTTTTTCTACAAAAGAATGAGCCGTTAACACTGGAGAAAATGACAAATCAAACAAACAAAAAATGATTTCATTGGACTCATAATGACAAGTAAATAATTGTCAAGATTTCAGGAATCTTCACCATATTTTTAGGAAAACGAATGTGATTAGAAATGTATGGTGAAACATATTTCGGTTTTAAGATCTTCCCACTGCATTTAATTTCTCTTTTTGTCTGTATGTGTTTTCAACCCGTCTTTCTGGATTATTCTTTTGTAAAAATAAATGTCAAGAGAATAAAAAGCTACCAAATTCAGTCCTTTAATTAAGATAGCATTATTGAAGGTAAACGTTTTCCTGCTTTCTGAGAATAACCATTTGGCCTATCGTGGGAACTGCGAGAAAAACCTCAGAGGTTTGAAAATTAGATGACAGACAATTGATAACAGTTTACCAGCAAAGGCAGAATGAAACCCTTGTCTATCAGTTGTGGTGGCCAACATTTTTTAAAATCTGCTGAATAAAGTATAGGAAATGACATCACAGGTCATGATAAGATTCAGGAAAAATTCCTGTGCTGTTGCTAATAAGACATGAAGATGAAATGTGGCTTGTTGTGGGTTTGCATGAAAACACTGTTATCAAAAAAATAAAGACAGAATTCTAACTCTTTAAAGCACTTTCAACTGAAATTACATTGGAAGTTTATTTAAGTAGATCAACAAAGTCAGCAGCTTGGATGTAGTTTAACATCAGAGACAAAGGCAGGAGCGATAAATAAAACACCTGAAGATGAGCCATATCACAGAATATACAAATGACTGTTCTAGTTTTCAACCTGGTTTTGGGTAAGGTGAGGTTCACTGGAAAGCAGGAGATGGTGTTTAGTTTTATATATTCTTAAATCAAAACATGCCAATGGCACAAAAGCTGCGCTCACTTTCACTTTAGTTGGCTTGATGTTAAACATGAAGAAGGTGTAAAATCACTGTGACTCAGTTTTATTTATATCATGTCATCTAACGTGACACATATAGAAACAATTATTTCCTTTTGGATTCAAACAGTAACCTTCTGTTATAGACAAGAAAATCCTCGCTGGGATTTCCCACAGAGCGGTGTCACCTCTATAACACGGCTCTTCAGTTCCTTATATGTATTGAAATCCAACTTAACAAAGTAGCAGTAGTATTATTATTATATCACATGTCCTTTATTCCAGCAAATTCAGTCAAACCCAGGGAGCAGTTTTAGATTACTTTGATACTTTCATTTAACACACAGAATGCAACTTTTACCAGAAGAGAAACCATAGTAATGTTAATGTGTTACATTAAATTACTGTTTGCTTATATGTATCAAACAGTTCCAACAGTCTGTGTTGACAACGACTATTATGCACTGCTCACAGAGACTCAAACGGTCCCTAACAGTCACATCTTTGTTCCTTTTCCTGACCTGTTATGTTCTCAATCTGAGTAAATTCTGCAACAAAGGGTTTTTTGCGTGTTGATCAAATCACAACACTGCAGTATGAAACCATTTTTTTCACAAGGCAGGCTGCATAAACCTGCTCTCCATCTTGATATGATGTTGCACCAACGTCTCCCACACGTTTTGGTAAAAGATGAGTGATCTCTCTACTTTGATGGTATCTGACACCGTGAACACACTCTTCCTTTTCTGTGGCTAATGCGAAGTCATTAATGCTGACCTACTTAACTCCAACCTGAAATCAACTCAACTGGATTGAAAACCAATAGATGCAGTGACTGTGGTTGGTTTGTCATAACGCTCTGCTGTGGCAACACTGGCGATCACTGACGTGAGCCACACAACAGATAATCCACCTACAGAAGGTCAATCCAGGCTGTCCACACAAACAAAGTAGCATAGTTAACACAGATTGCATCATCACTTGGCTTTATCTACGGTGGATCTGGATTCTTCTTCTTCTACTGGACAAAACAGACACCTCTTTTTAATGGAATTTGACTCATAACTGTTGCAGAATGAAACCAACATAATAACTGGGTCAATAACTATTAAAAAATGTAACATCAAATAGAGCCGGCATGATGGCAGGCTTAGTGATCTGTAGTTAGAAAAAGGTGGAAGTGAAATGTATCTTGTTATTACACTGGAAACAGTATGTCACATACAGTATAGTACTCTGAAGTACTATACTAGGGTGTAGTCATACTTTCATACTTTGTCTATCAGTGTTGGTTTACTTCAATAACTCAACACTCATTTTCATACTTTGTCTATCAGTGTTGGTTTTCTCTCTTTTCTTTTTTGTACGGGTGCAGTGGGAAGAATCCTCAAAGATGAAAATTATTTGCAAAACATATCAACCCAAACCTGAGCTCCAGATCTTTCCAGTTATTTAGAAAATACTCTAACACATACCGTACATACTCATATATTAGCCGATCCGCGTATAAGCTGACCCCTGAAAATTGATCCCAAAACGGTATAAGCCGACCATGTTTTAATTTTCTGCCGTGATAAAATGTCTTACTAACAAAGAATTAGAGAATTATCTTGGTAAAAACTTTGTTAAAATTGCGAAGATTTCGCCAGTGTTTGTTTGTTTGCGAAATTCAGAATAAACATGCTTTTTGCATTACTGTACATAAAATAATTATTAAATATCAGTTGTAGATTGTGTGGGTTGTGTAATGATATTTTTGACCATACATTCGGCTTAGTGTTTATTATCGGTGACGGTGCGATCGATGGAAAATGCTGTCCCAGGAGTGCGACCGATGGAAAATGCTGTCCCAGGTATTTATGCGCATGTAAACCCACGCCCTGATTTGATCTTTATTTTTTTATTTTCAACCAAAGACCAACTGACAGTATTGCAGTAAAACACCCACATAGAAAAGCTGTGTGATAAACCAATAATACATTAACCAGATATCAGTGGTCTGAAGGGGGAGAGCAAGAGGAGTGATGTCACTCTTTGAAATCAAATTCCTGGCAATGATGAGATGAAAGGAAGGTGAATACAAATGTCAGCAGCTGTTCAGCTGCGTAAATCCGCATCACTACAACTACTTATCAGTAACTAGGAAACAAGCCCTTTCCCTCTGATGTGTGTTTTCTGTTTAAGTGCAGTGCAGACCAGCTGTCAAACCACTGGGACACACTTACTGATCCAGCGCCTTGTAGTACAGATCCAGATCTTTAATGACCAGCTCTGTGGTCCTCATGATGATCATCTTGTTTTTATAGCGCTCCTCAGCTTTGTCGTACTGATCTTCTCGTAGCTCTTTTCTGCAAGTTATTGACAAAAAGTGGAAGTTTGATTAGTTTGAGTAAGTCGAGTGAAATGTACCTTGAAAAAATGTAACATCAACATAACATAGATGGAAGAGATCTTAATGAAATGACCCAGTAAGGTCCTTAAAGAATTTTTCTATGTACTCAGATCATAATCAGATAAAGCACACAAAGTAAAATACAAAATGAGTCAAATGAGTTGAAACTTTTTTTTTTTTACCTGTAGTGCATGATCTCCTCCTCAAAACCTTTCTGTCGTCCTAGAGCGATACTCCTGTTCTTTTTTAGGTCCTCTAACTTTCGCTCTGTATCCCGACGCTCCCTAAAAAACCACAAAGCTTAAAACAACACGCTTTGACATGATCTGATGCTCCAATTCCACTAAAGGATCTGGAAATGTAAACCACTACATACAGTATATCACAAAATAAATCTTTAATCTTACTGGCGAAGCTGCAGGACTTGCATGTTGCCCATGTCCTTCATTAGAGCCTCATGTTTGGCCACCACCTCCTTTAACTCCTCCATGCGCTTCCTGAGGGTCAGGTTGTCCTGTAGCCAGCGCTCCTGAACCTTAAAGATTCAAACAAACAAAGAGACGACACTGTTCAAATAATGAGATTTGAAGCTTTACATTTTCAAATCTACTTATTTGTTTTTTTAAATAGCAACTTTAGAAGCTGTACCTTCTGTCCTTTTTTTTTTTTTGAATAGCAACTTTAGAAGCTGTACCTTCTGAGTATCTATGTCCTGACGGATGTTTCCCATCTCTTTGCTAATCTTTTCTTTTTGCTTCTCAGCGTCATGTAGCTGAGTGTTGGTCTCCTGAAGCTCAGACTCTTTTTGCTTTGACAACGAAAATGAGATGATTAAATTACACGTACATATTTATCTAAAATGCATAAACCTATAAACAGTGTGTTTGATATCCATCATGAACTGATCACAGACCAATCATTACCTCTTTGTATTCACCCTTGCCCTCATCCAGGTACTTGGTGATATCTCTCTCCAGGTTGCTGACCACCTTCACTCTTTCTTTGATGGCACTGACCTAGGCAGAGACAAACAACTGTTTGTGAATCATTATTTGCAATGGGAATAAAAAAACAAATGTCCCACATTCTACAGGAGACAGAAGGGAGACTCCATTCACCTTCTCCTGCCCTTCTTCCTGCTTTTGCTTCTTGCGCTCCAGGAGCTCCTGCTTCTCCTGCTGGAGTTTGTCCAGAGAGGTGGACAAAGGAGAGAGCTGTTCCTTTGCTTCCTGCAGTCACAAAGTGTAATGAAATGATAAAACAGATTAGTAGATTGGCAGTTTACAGGCAATTAGGTCAAACTCTCACAATAAAATGGTATTCGTTTATGAAACAACATAAAATACCCTGATGTCTCTGGTTAAGGCCTGAATCTCTGTGGTGAACTCAACACACTGCTCTTCCAGCTGCTGCTGTTTCTGCATGTCACTGCTCAGCTGGAGCTTCTCGGCCTTCGTCTCATTCACAGAACTTTTCAGCATCTGGATCTGATCCTGCTGGTCCTGGGTCAGTTTACGTTTCAGCTCGATCTTGCTGGAGGCTGCAAGAGGACAGTCAGTTAAACAGTGTTGACAGAGTGCACATGTGAAATCAACCGCAGACTTTTATTTCTCACTTCTGTGTGTTTTTTAGTAGTGGTATTCTTAACTTTTCAAGGGTAATTATCGTGAAACTTAATACTATGTCATCTTACTGGTGTCTATCTTGTGCTGAGTTTCTTGTTTCTCTTGACTGACTTGCTGGACGGTTCTGCTCAGGTCTACCCCCTGGAGTTTGGCACCCTGCTGAGCTATTTTCCTCTCCACCTCTCTAAGATCCATCTGGGAAGAAAATAGGGCAAATGGGCTGATGTGATGAAAATGGCAAGGTGCAGGACTCGGATGTACGTAAATCTATAGGACCGCAGCTTCACCTAATACACCAACAGTCTAATATTATGATGCTGTTTATTTTTTTAGTGGGGGAGTTTGTTTTGTATTAGTGGGAAAATCCTATAAAACGGCACATGGACCTAATGACTATGAGATTTAAACAGAGTTATAAAACAAACAAATGTTACCAGGTATCGGTCCATGAGAGATATGTCCTGCAGACATGCTTTGGCTGACTCCTCCTCTGACATGAGGGTAGCCAGCAGGGCGTCCTGCTCCTCCACTTCCCTCTTCAGCCGATCAATTTCCCTGTTTACAATCTGGAGGCGGTTTCTTAACTCAGGCAACTCCTTTTCCTGCAACTGTACAATAGTTTGCCTGGAAAACAAGAAAGAAACAAGAAAAACTAGTCGTTTGAGAAACTAAAGATAAAGATCTCAGATGAATCATGTTGGTGAGTTAATTAATGTTTACTTAGCACTCTACACAGAATGTTCCATTGTGTTTCAGCCCCCGAAGTTCTGCTAAGGTCATGAAAATTAAAAAAAAAGAAAAGAAAAAAAGGCGTTTCTAGCTCCATCTAACGGTGTGCACGATGTAAGGCATGCTCTTTGCTTTTGTTTTAATACTCTATCCCCATCATAATAAATGTTTGAGGTTTGTCACCTCATACTGTACATTAAAAATATCCATATTTGTACTATTAGATTTAAAAACAATAATTGTTGGTGAACCAGTTACTTCAATGGTAATTATCTATTCATGGTGCAATGTTCATTGGTTTTATCTTAGTTTTAACAAGATAAGGTTTGACAGTGTATACTCAAATATTAAAATGATCATAATGCTTTCTAGAATCCTAAACCTAAATCCTAATCTAAATGAAAACAACAATAATTATCACTTTTGTCAAAGACTTGAGAAATGATGGTTATTTGCGGTACTTGGAGAGAAATAAAGTGGAAATTATACCATCAAAGATATGATCATGGGAATGTTTTAGATGTGCTTTCTAGCTGAAAGGTGTGAACAGCTGTTTTTAAGACATGACAGAATGAGCCTTTTCTATGACTACCTACTTGTTTTAGTCACATGTATAATTCGTTTTCCTTTGCACAAAAACATCCTACAAACCTGGCCATTAAGGAAAATGACTGACAGTTCAGTGAGTACCTGACAGGCCTGAGGGCCATCATCTCATCCTTCTTCCTCTCCTTCCTCTTCAGGTCCTGCTCAGTGTTTTTTAGTTTGTCTGGCACCAGGCGCAGTTTGGACTGCATGTCACTGATGACTTCCTGCAGATCGGACTCTGAAGGGAAGGTTCGCTGGCACACCGGACAGCAGGGCTCTCGCTCCTCTGTCAGCTGGCTAATGAACTGTGTGTACACTGCTGTGGCTCCAGCCAGCATGGCTGTACATAGACAGAGGGAGGAAAAGAAAAAGGGTCAGGGATACAGCAGACTATGAGATGTTAAATAAAAATGCAAACATGTCACCAGGTTTCCAATAACAGATAGAAAATAACATTACGGTAAAGGTTAGGACTAGATTTTGGTTAGTAATATACTTAAATGTAGAATGTTGAATTTTCAATTTCAAGTAACAATTTAAATATTCAATAATCACAACAATAATACTTTTTTTCAGAACTTTCAAGGTCACTGACAAATTACTGTAAATGATAACAAAAAAAAAATTTACACAAGACAAAATTGGTATGAAAGATATAAACCAATTAAAACAACATAGACGAAACAAAATAAAACATTTCATTCACCTCTTTGTTTGAATACTTTCTCCAGATCATCTTGCAGTTTGCTCAGGTCATGCTCTAAATCCTGACTTCCACACACATTAAAAAACTTTTCCTCATCATCAACCAGTTGCTGCTCCCTCTTACGTAGCTCAGAAGCAATGTGGCTTTTGTTCTGCTCGCTTGAGGCCAGGTCCTTACTGAGAAGACGAAACAATCATACCCCAATTAAAAAGATATTTACAATATGCATTACAGTAGGGTTTTAATGTAGACACATTCATCATACTTGAGTTTAGCAAGTCTGTCTCTGGTACTGTTGATTTCTTTAGACTTAGAATAGATCCAGTCCTCCAGCTCTCTCTTATTGGGAAAGTGACCCAGCAAAGACACCAGATCCTCACTGTGGCGTGACTTGATCTTTCGAACTTGGTCTTCCTTTTCTGACTGCGAACAGGAGATAAGACAGGGATATAAAATACAGATGGCGGCAAAAAGAGGAAAATGGAGAACCCTTGAATAGTTGACAAGTGGCTGTTGGGTCTTGTTTTGTAACAACTTGTGATCCTTCCACATTACCTTGTCTTTTTGCAGCATGTCCATCTGTGTGCGTGCAGTGGTGTGTGTGTTTAGCATTTCCATCTCTTGGTCCAGCTGTCTTTGCGTACGGTCAAGATTAGCCTTTTCTTTCTGGAGCTCCAAAACCTCAGCCTTCAGCTGCTCAACATTAGAATTCTCTACTGCACTCTGTAGCTCCCTCTCCTGAGGAGGAAGGGAATAACACACAAAGACGGCAACTTTACTTCAGAAGCTTTAACAGAATGAAAAGAAACACAAAGGGAAACTAAACAAACTCTTTATGGTCTCTTCTTGTTGACTTACAGCTTTGGCCAATTCACTTTCGAGTTGCTGCAGGCGGGTGGAGGAACCCTCCAGCCTCTGAAGCTCTGCTCTGACATTTCTCAGTTCTTGCTGCTTCTTTCCCTGCAGGTCTCTCTTCAGCTCCACCGTTCTTTCTAGACCAGTCTTCTTATCCCGCATTTCATCGATGGCCTGTTGCTTCTGCTGCTCTTTTGCCTGCAAGTCCATCTAAGTGGAGAGAATAATAATAATAATTTAAGTTAAAAAAATTATGCATACCTGAAAAAAACAACAAAATGCTGAAATGGAAGGACCAAATATATACAGTACATATAATCTTTTACCATGACACGATTAAATGTTTCTTTCTCCTGCTCCAGTCTCTCATCAAGTTGATTGTGGAAACTTCTGAGCTGAATAGATGTAAAGGGCGGACGGTCGTATCCCTCCATGTCCAGGTATGATGATAAGGAGCGAACCTGTACCAGAGACAACAAACAACATCCATTATACTGATAAAAATATTTTTTTCATTTAAAATTATGACTAAAAACAGCACACACACAATCTTAAGCAACTGTATTCTTTAATTTTAATAATTAAAAATTGAGTTTAAATAAAGGCAACATATAAAAATATCCAAGCACGTCTTGATTGACAGCTGCGATGTGACTGAAAAAATTTAAAGACTCATGTTGTATTTTTACTGAGATTTAGCTGAAAATTAAGTCTATTACTGAAGTTATCTAATTTTCTGAACTAAAACAAAAATAAAACAGATTTTCAATTTATGATACCAAAAAGTAGGAATTTTATACTGTAAACTTCATATTATTTTCTATAGATCTCACCTGAGTGTCACGATTCTTGATGTTTTGAGTGTGTCGATCAGCCTCCAGCTGTAGGCGACCTGGGGAAGAAGATGAGAGACTTCAACAGTTTATCCTTGTTTTACTTCAAGGATTTATCTTTTATAAAGTCCGGCCTCTCTTTTAGGGTGTGTATACAGAAATTAGATGTGTTAAACAGTATTGAACAAATCAAACAGATGACTTTGCACACAAGAGCCACAGTACAAGTGTGTGTGTACCTTGTTCCACCAAGAGCTCAGACTTGACTCTGTTCAGCCTCTGACATTCTCGCCCAGCTCTCTCCACTTCCTTCTGGCAGTCTGTCAGCCTCCGCTCTTTATCTTTCACCGTCTTCTGGTGGTTCTGATAAATCTCCTGCAGCTGCTCATCTGAACCCTGAAACACCTGCAGCAAACACAATGCACTTGATTGAGGTAAATGTTAGTAGTGAAGCATGATTATAAAATATTTAAAAGACATCTTAATATAGAACAGAGACCCAAAACCCACCTACAAGTGCCATTATTTGTGATTATCTGATCTGTTAACAAAGTAAAAATTCACATTTGACATATTTTACTTTCTCAATATAAATAAATATTTTAAATCCTGTTACCTGATCCATCGTTTCTTCCAGCTCCCTGTTGTCCTCCTCCATTTGCTTCTTCCTGCTCTCTAAGGCCTTGATGTCGTTGTCCAGTTTCATCACTTTTCCGAGTTTGGAATCAATTTCCATCAATCGATCCTAAAATTTGTTTTTAGTAGTAGTCCCAACAATTATAAATTGAACATGTTTGAGTATATTCTTATAAAAAATATCAAGTGAAAGGTAATTATTTGTCATTGTGACACAGCACACCACTGCACACACAATGAAATGTGACCTCTGCTTTGTGACCCCATCACCAAAGTGAACAGTGGGCAACTTAAGCACCTGGGGAGCTCAGTGCATCTCAGTGGCAACTTGGCAGCTAGTGGACTCGAACCTGAAACCTTCCGGAATTCAAGTTTTCTTCCTTAACCACCAATCTACTACTTACCTAAATAAGTAGCTTCATTAATGTTTATTTTTCTCTTCAGAAATATGATAAAAACCACTATTAAACAAACGTTACACTATCAACTGACCTCAAGTGGCTCTATCTTGTTCTCTAGTTGTTGTACGTTGTCTTTAGAAGCCGTCAGCTGAGCCTCCTTGGTCGCCACCGTAGCCCTAATCTGCTGGGCTTTCTCCTTGTTCTGGTTTAAGTAGCGAAGCTCCACCTGACACTCTTTGACCGTATGCTGGTTTGCTAGACGCAGCTGACGCATCGTGTCCAAAGCTTTGATATACCTGGAGGTAAAAGGGTAAATGTTAACAAAGCCTAATTGAGTGAAGAATGTGTGATAATAATTGTTTGCTTTGAGAAAAGGCGTCGACTTTACTTTGTAGCAGCGAAAATTGAGTCAAACTTGTCTTTGAGGGCTTTTCCTTCACTGAGTGGCCAATTGGACTCTTCTTGGTGACAAAAGATGACGTGATTCAGCACAGGCTTAGAGACACCCAGGGAAGAAATCATCTCCCGATCCAGTTCACCGCACTTAGAGGACAAACTGACTTTCTGACCATCTCTGGACAGAAAACATTAATGCAGAGTAATGGTTTATATAATGTCATTCAAACAATTCAAATAAAAAGTTAATTAAAACACTGGCTTACTTTGTTCTAGTGATGACCTGCTCCAAGCTTTTAAAAGAGTAGTTCTTCGCCTTCTGAGTACAAGACATGGAGCGTTGGATGGTCACTTTTTCTCCATTTACATCAGTGAATAAGAGGCGAATCTGTGCTCGTACATCTGTCTCATGGACATCCTGAAATTCACACAGTGAATACAATTCCATCTTGTATTAAAGCCAGGCCTAAACAGAAGACTGTGGAACTTCAAAATATCATAAAACCATTTATTGAACATGACATGTTTGTCTTGAGATGTTTGAAATAGGCAAAAAAAACAAATGTTTGTTTGTTTGTTTTTTTACTGGAAGCTTTACAGTAGGAGATTGATCTCAGCTCACCTTGGGATCATGGACAAAGGCCCCCCCTTTAGATCCAGGGGGAAGTTCACCTGATGTTGCATATTTCAGGCACTCAATTATAGTCTGAAGAAACAAAAATTCAATCAAGAATATGTCTTTATATAAAGAAATTGCAGTTATCAATAGCGAATACTGTCTTAGGGTTTTTTTTTTTCAGAATACAAAAAAAAAAAACAAAACCGGGAAAATATTTTTTCTGCCTAAACATCAACTAAATTACATGATGTCACAATTATTAGCTAAAGGCCACATTTGACAGTTAACCTTTCTCTTCACAAAACTCACGCTCATACCGTTTTTCCAGCTCCATTGGGTCCGACCAGTACAGTAAGAGGAGTGAGGAAGGATATGACTTGTTTGTCTTTATCCTCAATCCCAAAGCTCCTCACCCCCAGGATGCTCATCTTATCAATCTTTGACATTTTTAGATCTTTAAACAAGAATGAGAGGGAAACATAAAAATGAAACTGTAAACTAAAATAAAAACAATGACAAGTTTCTTTGCTGAATGGATCATTCATATCTGCGACTTTGAATTTACACATACAAGCAACATTTCATTTGAAAAGTTATGTAAAAGTCACCAAATATTTTCATCTGCTAAAAAACGACAGATTTGACTTTTTAAAGTTGCAGATGCCTAATAAAATGGCAATTCAAGAGCTTTTACAAATAAAGTGCAGAGTGACAAATTTCATACATTTGACAGTGCTTACATAATTACATTTTAAAATACAAATAAACACGATGGGAGCTGTCGAGTTATCCTTAATGTTGTCAACTGCCTTTTAAAACACCTGAAAGCAAGTAACCAATAACGTTTCTCTGTCTCAAAGGGGTAAAGTCCTGTAACCACTTGTGTAATAATCAGTGCTGCTACACACACCTGTGCACTGTGTTGCAGCTTAGCTAACTAACAAGTTCAGCTCTCGTTGCAAATACAGCGTTTGACTAAGTGTTCGACTTTTTCCTTAAGTTTGTAAACAATTTAAGCTCAATATTAGCAGTTGTGTCTTTGCCATTTCCGTAACCATTTAACTCACCGCAGTTTTTTAATATTGCTCTTCTTTAACACTAAACTACACCTTCCCGCTGTTGGTGATGTGACGTTGAAACGTAATGACGTACAAGCTGCAACTTCCGACTTCCGGTACGCGCAACGAACGCCAGAAGATGGTTTATTCCATAAGCTAAAGTAAGTAAAGTAGTTGGTGTAATTACCCACACGGAATAAATAGCTACTTGCGTATTCATTTATGTGCTAAAATATTTTTTGTATCCTCTGCAAACTGCAGAATAAAAAATACATTTCCAAGGAAACGACCGATCCAATATTTTAATGTTTTAGAAATGGTCAGTATTCAAGTTGAACATCAAATTCCTATGTTTAAATTCCTATTTCATGTTAAGTTTGGCACATCACAAGAAAAAGAACAAATTTTATAATACATATTTGGAATGGAAATCCCAATGTCGATAAGTGACCACACGATGTCAGTGTTTTCCTCTATTAGAAAACTCGAGCGTGACCGTAATCATCGCCAGTTTAATTTAAATGTAGGTTAGATTTGATGTCAAGGGCGGGTTTCTGTTCCATCACTAGCACTGTACACAGTAAATATACTGTATAATACTATATGTAATTAGCATATTTAATTAACCTCTGTTCTAATAATTTCATTATTATTCATGTGATATACAATCACAGCATATCACGTGGCCTAACAAAAATAACCACCCAGAAAGGGAAAAGGTCTAACTCATGCATGTCCTTAAATTTAACCAGAAGAAACAGATGGTATGAGATAGGGCATACTTGCAAGACAGATTGTGTATATTTATGGAGCAAGAGGAGGAAAGAATGAATCAAAATATAGGAATAAAGGGACAGAAGTTATTTTTGAGACTGTGTTTTGGGTTGAGGAAAACTTTGCAGACATCCACAGGGACCTGCAGGACTGGTGATCACCAGCTGCAGCTACCATTCGCGGAAAAATCATATATACACTCAAATACACACACAGAGCCACAAACCGCCTTCACACCTTCAGCCCACATATTCAGTCAGTCTCTGTTATCTGTCCGCTGACTCAGTGTGCCTTAGTCTGTCCAGTCCTTTTTCTATTTTAATCCTGTCCTGTCACAAATTTATCGTGACTTGGGTGGACAACTGGACATCTATGTGGATGTGTGTGTAAACTCAGCATCTTTAAAATCCTTAAGAAATGTGCTCTGTTTTCTTTAAACAAAATAAATTAACAAGTGTTTTGCTGGGTTTGTGTGCTGAAATGCTTCTTGCTCTAGATTAGGACCTGCAACATTTGTCGGAATTTTGTAGCCTCAGGTCCCCCCAGAATTATCAACACCGAATGCCATAACCATTGTCTGGCAGCTTGTACTGTAGGCTACAACATGTGTACCCCAGCTTGACATAACCCCAAATTTATTGAACACCTGGTGCTGAATCTTTTGGACCAGAAGTGAACGCTTTAGTGGAAGCAGCTGGTGACGAACCGTCCCCTTCAACAACACTGTGATTTCCCTTCCACCACAGCTGATGTAGTGGAGCCCCGTAGACAGTGAAGCCTCTATACAGCACTTCTGACTGCATTGACTGGAATAAGACCCAGACGTGACACAGGCTTGCACTCCTCTAATGTTTAGGTGAGAAGGGAGGTGCCCGTGTCGTGCACTTTAGCGTCGTAACATGAGCTTTAAATTTGAATCCGGCAAATTGTAAAACTTTTAAACAAGTCTCCTATTCATCCCTTGCATAGACATTTTGGTGAATAAACTCTGCCTTGTGATCCTAACAGCTAATGCTGCAGCTATCACGTCCAGCGCAACTCATTTCAAATATGTAGTTATTTGTCAAACGTATGTGCATGAGTTGGACTCAGACCTGAGGATGGCACACTCAATTGGAACATTCTTTTTCTCCTGCTCTCATGGTCTATAAAAGTAAGTAACACAATATTTGAATGGAATGTAGAACATGTGGTGGTGGGGGGGATGAAGTTAGAGTGTAAATAAATGAATAAAATCATAAATTAATCACAAAAAATAAATATATGAGTGGGAAGCTGAGAAGACTAACCTTTCACTGCACTCTACCTCCACTCCTCTAAACTCATTTCTCAAATATTGCGGCACCAATATCTTATTAAATCCTGCAGGGACTGTTTGGATGGCAAATCGGCCTCAGCGCTGCCCGTTTGCCGGAAAGCGTCTGGAGAGGGAATGAAGAGAGAGGGTGGATGTGAAAGGGGGAGGGAAAAAAAGAATCTCATTCGATTTGATGGCGTGTCAGTGTGCTTTCTTCTGCTGTGTGATGGATGGAAATTAAACTTTTCGCAGAAACACAAAACAATGCTAATCCTTAAAGGAGATTATCAGCTTTCCATAGAAAAGAATTTTTTTTTAAGTCAAACTGTTACATAGTGGTTTTACACCAGTGAGTCTATGGATTTCCTGCAGTTCACAAATCCTTTATTTTTTGGTACTCATGTAATGTCTGTCATAAATATATATGTAGTTTGTAATGTATGAAGTTAAATAAGGGCAATATATCATTTGATCACCCTACCCACCAGTAAAACTAACCCTGAAGCAACAAGTGTATTTATGATCCCTCTGTTATGACACCATCAGACCAAACTGATGTCATTCTGTGATTTAAGACTTACCATGTGCTTGCTAACTGTATATTCTTTTCCTTCTTTTTTGTGCAACATCTCCCAAGGAGTTCCAGTGGAGGAGGCCGAGGTTCAAGGACGGATAGAGGTAAAAATAAACTCTTTTGACACTAGAATCTCGAAACTGCCTGTGAGGGGTTTTCCTGAGGTAAACAAAATATATTTTAACTATAACTTCTACTGCATTACTATAAAATTAAACTACATATCTAAACATAATAAACTTAGTTTATTTCCAGTATGTTATTCACTGTTTTCCCATCTGTCTTTTCTTCTTTCTGATAACTTGAACAGAACTGTCCATTCTGTAAACCCTAAATGTGACATTTCTAAAAGCCATTTTAAAGAAACAAAGATTATTAATATTCTAATGTCAATTTTACTTATGCACTTTCTGCTGCCAAACAAACCCTATTTTTGGGAACCCTTTTTTTAAATATCCAAATATACAGCGGAGAGGGAACAAACACATCACCTCCACCTCCCTTCTAATAATAAAAAAAGGTGGAGGTGACAGAGGTGACTGCTCAGTGCAGACTAAGAAAGGTAGCCTCTGTTCACCACACTGGATGGAAAAACACACACCGAAGACACGAGGGATATGTTGTTTTTGTGACTCCAGTAGTTTTTGTTTACGCCCTAATGATGAATTATTTTATTTCCTGCAGATTCAAAACTGGAACCTTTGAAATGATTTGTAATAATGTGAGCATTTTCAGGAGTACGTTTCCATATTCCTAGTGGACCTTCTTGCTGCTGTGCACTAGGGAATGTAAATAAAATTATGTTGTTTTTTTATATATAAAGAAAATAATATGCATACACTGTAAAACGGACAAAAGTGTACATTTTCTTTGTAGGAAATTGACATGTTTTAGGATTTAGAATTGTCCATCATTCCAGATGATGGACACATTCGGGTATTTCGAGAAATGATCCCATCAGTCAGACTGAATGGCAGCTTCGCTTATGCAGCAATGGTTTCCTTTAAAGTTATTTCAAATTCCAAGCAAAGTAAACACAATAAAAGCTTTTAAATAAGGTTTACAGGAAGGCAATATGTGGAGCATCGAGCAGCAGGTTCTTGTAGGCAGCAAAAAAAAAAGGATCAAGTACAAGAAAGTGTAGAAAGATCTGTAGAATACTAATACTACTAAATACTTAATACTGCTTATGACACTCCCCAGTTTTCTAGATGTGGTGTTTGTATTTTATATATAGAAATCTTGACATAATTCCACAGGGTCTATGCACAGAGGTGTGTACTGTATAAGCGATGAATAATAAAAAATACATCTAAATGCTAAGTGCTTAGTGTGTACTGTATAAGCGATGAAAAATACATCTAAATGCTAAGTGCTTATTCCTCAGCTTATTTAGCTTTACTATATGTACCTTTTGCAGATGTGAGTGGCACCTTTCCTGCCGCTCCGTCACATATGTCATGAATCTGACGTGTGTTATTTCTTTTCATGGTTTGGAGCATCCCTTTCTGACATACTATGTTCACTATTTTCTTAATTCACAAACATTACATGCACCACTACACAAACGTCTGTAATTAGCAACTTATTTTCCACCTTACGAGTGTTTTTCATTTGTATCGAATCTTTTGCCGAGGAGAAACAGAGCGAATGCTGACAGTTCCTCTGTGGCTTTATTAAAGACAGTTCTCCAGGACAGACGCCGTGATGATCATCAGAATGACAGCTGTAATGATGGGAGTCAGGGTTTCACCGCGGCGGACAGCGGCAGACGAATTGACGTGTCTCAGAATGATGTTTGGATCCTCGGAGCACGGGCACGCTGGCTCCTCCAGTCACTTCTGACCAGACCACATAATCAGTTACACTGTGATGGCTTTAACATGCATTCACCCAGTGTGCTGTTGTCCTGTAGTGCAGCGAATGCAAACAGTCAACACTGAATTTGCTCGTCCACATGTGTCCAAGTACTACCTCAGATATAGTTAATATGTCACTCCACCCCCCGTGACCTCCACCTCCACTCTAGTTTCGTTGCTCACTTTCTAATCCATTCCCTTGTCCTAGAGGTTCGAGTCAATTCAATTTCATTTTTTTGGAAAAGTAATTCTCCCTGGTGCTATTTTTCACTTTAGCCTCCTACAACACGATTGCCCAGTGTTTCCATTTCTGCTTTCATCGCTTATTGCTAATTATACCCGGCGGCTCCCTCTCCCCAGCAAACCTGCAGTGACAAGCACAAATATTATACATTTTAGATGCAACAACCACGGGCTACATGTAAGATTTTTAAACACTAAATTTGTCATTCTTTTTTTTTTTTCTCTTCCCTGTCCTGGTCTCGTCCAATAGTGTTGCTTACCACAGACAAACAATGTGTCCAGGGTTTAAAAAAAAAGTCACGGCTAGTAACGGCCACAAATCCTTTTACCTTGATTTCCTGTGACTAATGTATGTTGGCTCCACACAACTCCAACACCGACGGTAGATACAAATTTTTTTCCAATTTCCTACCAGACCATTTTAAAAATGTAACACATGCACTGAGACAATGCGAACAATTCTGTCTCTCTCTCTTCATCCCTCTCACACACACAGAAATACAAAGACATTTGAACTGCGTGAGGGCGACAGATGTTCCAGCTTTATAATCCACAGAGAAACCATTTTCAAAACAGGAGGCAACAACTTATCTGACAGACAGAACACGCCATCCTCTGACTGTTGCTCTTTTTTTTTTCTCATTTGAATAATCCTGATGTCATAACAGTACAGTAGTGAAAGTCAGCTTTAAAAACATCCCGTCGTCACAGAAAAAGTTTATGAAAGAGAACAGAAGCACCGGACAATTCTTGTGGCAACAACTGTTAGTAAACACATTTTCATTGCTAGTTGCATGCTAGTTATATATAAATATATATATTTTTTCAATTTAAATGCATCAATAATATATAAGCCCTCTATCTGTTCAGTGGGCTGTGTTTTTAAACTTTTCATTTATTTTATCCTTTGTTTTGTTGCTTTACTTACTAATGTCAGTACAGTGTCACTTTGAAGATTTTTTTTTTTTTAATGTATGACGATTTGTTTTCTTTGTTTGGCTTGTGGTTTGGTTTGAACCTGCACCCAAAACACTCAACAACATTGCATATTTATCAAACCCTAACATTAAGAAAGATGGGTGACGATACTGGGTAAGACACACGCACATGAAAATACAATGCAGTCAGTGAGTTTGAAAGAAATGGATTTAACGGTTTAATCGACTATTCCGTTCATTTCAAACATTTTGACCGACTCACAGATGACCATGTAGTTACAGTAATTCCTTAGATGGAACTCTTTCCAACAGATGGCTCCATTATGAGCAGCAACTGTAAAACTTTTATCCTCACATATTAAAGAAGAGATGATGAAAGATATAATATAATAATGGCACATACACTTAAAAACACTAGTGGCTACATGCACTGAAACGCAGCTCTGGATTCAGCTCTGCAGAGATTAACCACCGGTTGCTGAAAGCTCTGTGAATTCAGTTAGATGTACATTAATAAACAGGCTTCTGTCCCTGAGCATGCTGCTAAACACACACACACAGATCTATTTCCAGGGCAAAGATTACCACAGTGTTTAGGATTATCTTGTAATTGCAAATGTTATTAAAGCTGCTGTATGATTTGGACCACACTGGTGAACGTCAGTCATTGGATTAGAACACAACGGTCCCCTCACGCCGGGTGTCTGCGGTTATAGAGCCTGGACAACAACTTCAGACCTGATGGATGACATGCTGACAAAGAGGATTGGATGAAGGCAGAGAGAGAGAGAGAGAGAGAGAGACAGAGAGACGAAATCCATTTGCAGGTCTCTCCCTCGCTTTTTTTGGCTGTGTCATGGATTAATCTTTTCTGGCCACAAACACACACACACAGGCTGCTCCATGCCCTTCAGCATCTCTGTAAAGAGTAAATAACTGAAATCATGACTCAAATGTTTAAACCGTTAAATGGTGTTTTTTCAGTTCGGTCCTTTGTTGAAGAGACGAACAGCCAATAACGTGGAATAGCAGTGATGTCTGATGACAGAAAAAAAACAACAACACAAAAGCCTCATTGATTTCACTGACTTCACTCATTTTCTCAGAGTTACTTCTACAGTAGGGTGGAGAATTACAAAAAGAAGTACAAAAGAGCAATCTCTCCCCAAGAGTCAACAGTAAGTCTCTGAAGCAGACTTGAGAATATTGTTTTCTTTGCTGGACGGCGTCGGCCAAAATGCCTCTGAATGCCATTGATCATTCCTGACCTCATGACTCTGTTTGTATATGTCAGTCATAGCCCATTTAAAAAAAGTAATCAAAAAAAGGTATCACAGATACAGATGATTGCTTCCAGTACGGACTCCATTTTTTTGCTGTTTCCTCTAATGGCAGCCCTGAGTGATTTATACTCGGAATGAAAGGTGCACTGGGTTGGAATGAAGGACAAATATTATACACACGTTGATGAATTGATGAAAACATAACACGACGGCGGCTCTCACTTTGACAAAGTTTTTCTTCTAATTAAGAACTTTGCTGAGGATAATGAAAATGAATGTAGCTGAACATTGTTGTTGTTAGGAGTACGTATTTAAATTGTAAATATAGCGTATAAAATTGGTGAACTGAATTTGCTACTGCTCCTGACAACGTATAATGTAGAGCAGTGGTTCTCAAACTGTGGTACGAGGGCACTCTCGTGGTACGCGAAGAAAATTTTCAATTGTATAAATCAGAAACATACCATGCACAGTTAATGCAACATTTAAACATAAGCATCTTTATAAACATTTTTAAACATCTCTCCTGTGTGGTGGAAGCTAACAGGGAAGGCCTACGCTGCTATATTCTAATGTTGGTCATCATGGAGGTAATCAGAGTTTTCTCAGGTGGTACAGAGTATAAAAATGCTAAAATAATTTTGAGAAAAACACGGAAAAACTAGTATTTCGGCAATAAAAGTTATATCCACATTTCCCTGGCCATAATCATTACCAATTATCCGAAAAGAAACTAAAGGAATTCTGGGTCGTTGCACACACTAAGTCCAAGTTTGACTGATAAGTCTGTGGGCATAACTGTTGAAAAGGTCAGTTTTAGGGTGTGTTCTATTCTATTCTGTGTTTGATTGGCTGAATATATTTGTGTGTTCTGTGTGACAAGGTCTTTGAGTGAACTCTTTGAGTTGCACGCATAGCCTGACTCAGTGCTGCGGGGAAATGGGGGCGTTGTGTCTGCCAGGCCCCTTACACTGGGCTTGTCCACACGTATTAGTCTCAAACACACGTGCGTGTGCAAACACGCGCACGCACACACAATGCAAGCCACACTCATTAAAACTCACAAACATGTGCAGAACAAACAAAGAGAGCGCAAATGACGAGTTACTGTAGACACAGAGTCAGAACTGCTAGATTTTCTCTTCGAATTGTAACACGATGCCCAACCTAACACAACTCTTTCAGACCTATTGTGTCTGAAATCGAGCCCACAACCCTGCGGGTGTAAGGCGACTGAAGGATCCACTGGTTTATAGACACCAAAAAAAAAACAAGTTTGTCTCATCAGGAACTGACGTTGGTTTCCATCAAGAGTATTGGTTTTTACAAGGTCAGCGTTTGAAAAGGCAAGGTTCTTTGATAGAGATCGCCGTTTAATACACATTTTATACACACACACACACACTCACACATGCATACACACATTCATAGGGATGGAGTCCATTGAGGTTTTTACAGAGCTAAATAGTTAATATTCAAACTGGCCAGGTCTGCAGGCAGCCAGCAGCATGATAGCATAGCTTCATGTAATTCACATCTGCCACTGCACACACACACACACACACACACACACACACAAGTACACACACTTCCTGTCTCCCTCTCTCTGTTTCTCCCTCTCTTTTAATTTATGGGCGTTCCTGTCACGGTCTTGAGGGGATGTTTATGCAGCGAGAGTCGTGTATGTGGAGTGTCAGCATGTGTCCAGTTACAGACCGCTCAGTGCACCTCAGTGGTAACTTGGCAGCTGGTGGACTCGAACCTGAAACCTTAATTAACCACCAAGACACATAAAAACAATTATGTGTGTGTATATATATATATATATATATATACACACATATATATATATATATATATATATATATATATATATATGTACATATATATAGCATTATGTGTAGAAGTATAGTACTATAGTGTTATATCTAGTAATTCAATCGTAATATGGCACTGAATACTAGACCAGTATTAGGGCTTTAATAAAGAAACAATAATTTAACTTACGAGAATAGAAGCGTATGTTTATAAGAATAGAGTGCTCGATTTACATTATGTGAACGAGGTCAAATTATATAACTATTAAACATGCGGTAAGATAGTGAGAATATCCAGTAATAAAGTTCAGGAGAACATGGATATCCCTTGTTTTTTATTTCAATTATATTTGATCACATTTAAACTCCTTAATATTAGACTTAACTCTAATTAACCAACAATGAGTTCTTATTTTATAAACTTGCATTTTTCCTTCTAATAACATGACTCTAATGTCATAAATCCTTACGCTTCTTTTTTTTAACACGTTTTGAAATGTCACTGCAGCAGTGGATGTTCTCCAAGGAGGCTGCCATGATGGATGTTATTTCCTGCACCAAACAGAGTTCATTATTTATTATTTGTTAATGCTTCCATGCGGTACATTTACCTAAACAGAATGATGCAAAAATTAAGTAAGTGATATTTTATTACAACATTATTATCATTCCCCAATAAGTTATATCCTTGTTCAGGTATTCAGTTTGACCAGGTCATCTCCGGGTAAAGGCCTCACTGCACAGCGCCATGACGCATAGGCACTTGGCACAGGATGGCTCTACACACACACACACACACACACACACACACATACAGTAAGGCAGTTAATGACATAGTACCCCCCTCTCTAAAATAGTCCCTGTGCCAAAAAGCTCCACAAGTGCACAACAGGGCTATATATTTGCTGCGGTTGTTACTCTGTCAGTCCAGTCTTGTGTCGTTACTGGAATAACCTCGGAGTGATATTTTTGGCTGTCGGCGCGCGCATTAGGCATGAAAAGAATAGATGAGATGCCAAAGAGCGCTTCCACACATGCTCAGCACCGTACCCAGTAGATGGCCTCAGTGTACCTCGGTGCCGTAATGCTCCCTTTAAGTTTCCTACAGGACGACCTTTCATGTACTGCTCCATCTCTTTTTATGACTTATTGTTGTTATTATTTTTTTTAAGTTTGGTGTTGTGCACGTTCTGTGCAATGTAGGAACAGTTTCAAATTAAATAAATGGGGAAAAAAACAGCTTCGGAAATGAGCCGTGGATTAGTGATGTACTGTACTAAGAAAACATTGGTGTCGATGTGATACATTTATTTGACATCAATCAAACATGACCGCGTGGTCCCTCTTCTCAGCAACAAACCGCGTGTTGTAAAAAGGATGGATTTGGCTGTGGTTTCTCTCCGCACAGTCTCCATGGATATGGAGCAGCTGTGGCACAGACCGTGGCGCGCAGCGGCGGGCAGCAGCTGAGAGGAGAGAGAGTGGAGCACGCACGAAAACGGGTGCGAAGAGATCAGGGTCATTCATATCGCACTCTGCTGGCCGGGCGGACGGCAGACACATCACGGGGTAACGGAATGTCGCACAGGAGAGAATGACTCCGAAAAGAAGAGCGTAAGGACAAATAATAAAAAAATAATAAATTTAAAAAAAAAAAAACCCCACCAGGGAGGCATTTGGGGATTCCAAGTGAGGCAGAGCGCAGAGATGGTGAGCTCTGCTTCTTTCACTCCGTACCCGCTCAGGCACAGGTTGGATGTATACGCAGGAGAGATTCGGATCCGAAGGGGAGGAAACCATTTCGTGCGTCTAAATTAGAGATCCGGATTGGATTTTACTGGACCGGGAGACGGGGTTTTGCAGCTGGAGCTCTCCTCATCCACGGAGCGCAGCGCACGCAGACCACTCAGATACTTCTCTTCTTCAGAACAACATCAATATTTAATCGCGCCTCCGTTTCACCGACGACCACAGTGGCACGGTACTGAAGAGTGTGGACTTCTAACTCCTGAATGTCTTTTACGTCTGCGGACAGGAATGTTCCTGGATTTCAAGGACATTGCAGCAAAGAACGAGCTGTGATTGCGATTTACTGCTCCAACATGCAGAGTAGAACCTCAGACGTACCTCTAAACTATGTTTTCATAAAGAACCACCCAAACTTTTGAATACTGGGAGTGTATTTTTTACGTTCGCCATCAGTTCAGAAACCTCGGCTGGTGCCGAGCTGCGTAAAATGAAGACCAATTAAATCAGCACCAAGCTGCTGGAGGATCAACGTCACTGACCACAGATATAATCACACAGACACGCCTGTAGCATCATGGAATACCGAGTCCGACAAACAAACAAGCGAGAAAACCGTTATCAATAAGGTCATATACAAGATCAATGGTTGGTCGAGCTTCTGTTTACTCCAAAGTTTGACAGGACCAGCTGACGGACACAGTGTTAGAGGAAAACAGCAGTTAAAATAAGTACATTTTCTGACATTTTGTTTTTCCCATCTGCATCACCTTGCTGTAAAAATAACCAGAGACGTTTGCCGGAATATTTACTTATTCTGTATGATACTAGAATGTCTGTTCTGCTGCTGCAACAGAATCATTGACCGGGGTTTTCTGTGGAGCAAATCTGTGAAAGGATTTTCCTGAAAAATTCATAGCTCTTTCACTGCTACGAGGATGGTTGTGACAAGGAGCCCGTGGTTAAACCAGTCAGTAGGAGAGCTGGTACCGAGACAGTTGACCTCTCTGCCAGCTGTGCTGTCCGCTTGGAACACATCCCCAGAGAGGCACAGCTGCTCCGGGCTGGGGGTGTGATGGGGTGCCTCCTGACATCCCCTTACCCAGCCCCTCTCTTTGTTTAGAAGCAGTGATATAAACAATGGATCAAAATCTATCAGTGGTTCAAGATGGCAAGGAGCTGCTCCCAGAGAGAGACTCGTCCAAACGTGTCCTAACAGGATGCTTCCTCTCTCTCCTCATCTTCACAACACTGCTGGGCAACACTCTCGTATGTGCTGCTGTGACCAAGTTTCGACACCTAAGGTCAAAAGTCACCAACTTCTTCGTCATCTCTCTGGCCATCTCAGACCTCCTGGTAGCTATACTGGTGATGCCATGGAAGGCAGCGACGGAGATCGTTGGGTTCTGGCCGTTCGGTGCGTTCTGCAACGTTTGGGTGGCTTTTGACATCATGTGCTCCACCGCCTCCATCTTGAACCTGTGCGTAATTAGCGTCGACCGCTACTGGGCTATCTCCAGCCCGTTCCGCTATGAACGCAAGATGACCCCTAAAGTGGCATGCCTGATGATCAGCATGGCATGGACCCTGTCTGTCCTCATATCCTTCATTCCCGTTCAGCTAAACTGGCATAAAGCTCAGACCATCAGCCTCGCGGAGCTAAATGGAACGTACCCCAGCAACGTTCCCATTGACAACTGCGACTCCAGCCTTAACAGGACTTACGCCATCTCCTCTTCCCTCATCAGCTTCTACATCCCGGTGGCTATTATGATTGTCACTTATACGAGGATCTACCGGATTGCTCAGAAACAAATTAGGAGAATATCTGCTCTGGAGCGAGCAGCAGAGAGTGCCAAACACCGTCACAGCAGCATGGGAAACAGTTCGATGGAGAACGAAAGCTCTTTCAAAATGTCATTTAAACGAGAAACCAAAGTGTTGAAGACTCTCTCCGTCATCATGGGAGTATTTGTTTGCTGCTGGTTGCCCTTTTTCATCCTTAACTGCATGGTTCCTTTCTGTGAACTGAACATGCCAGATGGTAAGGCGGACTTTCCCTGCGTCAGTTCCACCACCTTCGATGTATTTGTGTGGTTTGGCTGGGCCAACTCCTCCCTCAACCCCATCATTTATGCCTTCAACGCCGACTTTCGCAAAGCCTTCTCCATCCTCCTGGGTTGCCATAGGTTCTGCCCAGGGAGCAACGCCATAGAAATTGTGAGCATTAACAATAACATGGGTGGCCCTAGCTCAAATCCGAGCTATCAGTATCAGCCCAAAACTTACATCCCAAAGGAGGGCAACCATTCGGCCAGCTATGAGATTCCCCACAGCATCATGTGTCAGGAGGAGGAGCTACAGAAGACGACTGGATGCATAGGGGACGTAGAGGTAGGGGCGGTAAACAACAGCGTGGAGAAACTGTCGCCAGCCATCTCTGGAAATTTAGACAGTGACACAGAGGTCACGCTGGAAAAGATAAATCCTATTACACAAAATGGCCAGCATAAAGCAGTGTCGTGTTGAGAGGAGCGTAGCAGGATTGGAATAAAGTCAAAGATACTAATGTGGACAGATGGACAGCAAAAGGAAAAGAAAAAATGTCAAACATCACTGAAAAAAACAAAACAAACCATGCCTGACAGGGACACAGTGAGAGCATCACGCAGAGCTAAAGGACATAGGGGGAAAAAAAAAAAAAACTCGGAAAAATCTACAGAATGTTTTAATGAAAAGGCACTTTATTCTGGATACAACTATTTGCAAAATACTCTCGGCATTTATTGATAACATTTACAATAAATGTTAATAATGTGAATATTGAAGCAGAACACTAGCTATTTCCAAATGTATACGTTTGAAGTGTTTTCAAAGCTATATACATTTGCATAAGTATATTGTACAGTACTGACACAATCCGGGGAGGACTTCAACACAGTATATACAACACGGCAAGATGTAGTTACTATTAGAAGAAGAAGAAAAAAAAACATCAGTGTCTTGTAGGTAGGTGCTTCATATGACAACAATGTTGGTGAATTGGTTTCGGTTCAGTATGATTGGTAGATTTTTTTTTTTTTTTTTGGGATACGTTTCGTTACTTGGATCTTTTTATGGCAAAATGGAAACATGTGTATTGTATTTCATTTCAAAATACTTGAAAACCCAATGTTGTTCTACATCAGGCATTGACGGATTGGAGAAATGCAGATAACAGACCTAAACACCTAGAGAAGTTTTGCCAAAAAATATTTGATCATTTATGGGTTTTACATCAATTAACCGGTTTTATGTTGTTGTGACTTCATTTCTTCCATCATTTTATTGGGCTCAGGTTTACAATGTGATGTAAGAGAGGAAAGAAAGAAAGGAAGAAAGAAAGAAGGAAAGAAAGAACTCACCATCCCATCTGTGCCAAGTCTGTTTTAATCTCTCCTTAGTTGTGTTTTCTGTACCCATTTGGCTTGGTCACCTGAACTTTCTTTCCTCCATGTCGCTTTTTCATCAGCTCTGTCTCCCATGATGCTCTTCAGAAAAACCTCATGAGCCTCCCGGTCTTCTCTCCTCTTCATTTTTGTGCTCTCCTTTTACCAGTCAGCAAAGTCCTGTCCTGCCTCATGCTGTTGCCCTTATTTCCTCAGCGATGAGGAACTTTTTTTCCCTCCCTCTTTTTCACTTTCACTTTTTCTCAGTCAACCTGGACTTCTGCACCTGCATGGCCCCCGCCTCCGTCCCTTTTTTTTTTTTTTTAAATGTTTTTCTCTCGCTCCCTCCACTGAAACTCTTTTCAGGCAGCCTTCCATTTTAAATTCAAACTCTGCCGTCCTAAAGTGGCACTAATGTTTCTATTTTTGGCAAATGTCGTCAGCAGGTACTTAAAGAAACCAATATAAATCTGTTCACTTTAACTTCTACACTTGGACGGGAGCAGCAGAAACAGCAGCACAGTGTGCTCAGGTGATATGCAAGTACAGTAAGCAACCTTCTGCAAATTGGCAGGTGCCATAAACTGTGTATAAGAAATGAACACGGTCAATTTCTAGAAGATTCAAAAGTCGGCCTGAGGGAGAAAACAAGAGGATATTTACTGCCACTCACATCTCCAAGGAGATCTACAGCATCTCTCACCTCTATCATGGTCCAAACCCTGGTCTGGGTTTATTGGCTATTGTCTCCCGCACATGTTAAATCGAAGAAGTCTCTAAACAAGCGATTGAGAACAAAACCTCTTTGGGGAAAATCTCAATTGGGGTTGAAATTGTTTTCCCATTGACTTCTGTAACCAGCAGCGCTGCTCCTGGAGCCTCACTTTGGCCCCAGCTGAATGTGTTTATTTTTGATATACGATCTATGGCAGATACCTAATTTTAAAAGTTGCTCATGCTGAAAGCCTCGCTGTAATGCAGCGGTGACATAGGGGATGAGGTGTGAAAGTCATTTGTTTCCAGGGGTGGAGTCTGGGACAAACATACATCATTATGCTAACCTAAGGATTTATACAGGGAATAAACAGTGCAACACCAAGTTTGACATGAACAACAAACGAGGAGTAAAATGGTACTTTTCTAAATAGCTATCGAAAAAGTTGAAATGGTAATTCCATCTCCATTGTGAAGTTCCGAAGTTAATGTTGAATTAATTCAGAGCGGGAGTAGAAGAGGGACGTTGTTCCTGCGGGAGTTTCTACTGTCTCTCTGCTCAGCGGAGTTCCTTAACTGTGTGCTAAATCCACCGTGCGCTGTGTGCGTGCGTGTGTATTCATGAACGTATGAAACTGTGTGTTCATCAGAGAAAGAAAGAACACATTCAATAGAAAACAATTGGTCTTGAATGAAGTATTTGATTTTCCTGCTGTGGAAAATCCAATCGCCATCATGGCAACAAAGAGGGGAAAAGCTTTTGGCTCAATACAGTCGCTCGGCCACTAACACAAACGCGACACACCGTGTCCGTGCTTCTGTCATTTGCTGCTCTGTCTGTTTGAAACTATGTGTACGAAAGTAAATCATGATTTTTTTTTTCTAAGAATTGTAAATGTAAAACTCTGTGACCAATGTCACCTAAGAGCCAAGACGTTGCCGTCTGAGTATGGTCAGTTGCCTTTCAGAAACTCCTCATTTTCAGTTCCATTTATTCCCTAATTGCTTCAAAACACAGACAACTCCTGGCATCAGGATTGGTCCTGGAATAAAAGAAAAATGCATAAACTGTGTCAAAGATGCCTCCCCCGTACCCTCTGACACATTCCATATTTCCATTTCCCCTTCATTTTAACCCACTCTTCACTGCACCTGTCATCCTGATGTGTGTTCCCACAGTAAGCACAGATTGAATCTGGGATTAAACAGACAGACACCACCTCTGACTCCCTTCGCAAAGCATTAAGTCAGTGCCCTTCTGGTTATTTTTGCTATTGCTGTTATGCTTACCTTCAGTAACCATTTCGCTCAAGTTTATTTATTTATTTTTTTGTCTCAAATTGGGTTCATGCTTGTTCTTCATGGTTAAGACCATCTCCGCTACACTATTAAATTGGGTTCATGCTGTAACGTTAACACTTGTTCTTGATGGTTAAGACCATCTCCGCTACACTATGTCCTCGTGACCCCCCCCGCCCCCCTCTGGGCTTTTGATTTTACCTTGTCAACCTCGGTGATGAATTTCTAAGCTACTGTGATTTTTGAAAGGGAGAAAAGCGGGAAACCGTGTCACAAGCAAAACGATTTGTTTGAACTGGAGCTCCCTGCCCTGCCCCCGCCCCCCCCGGCCTTTCGACAAATTGCTTAGGGAGGCTGTATTGTACAGTACATGCTGTCTTGGCCTGTGCAGTGCATGAATAATGAGTAGTTAAACACATCTGACAAAGAATGAAGACCCTCCATCCCCCTGCTGTCTTGGTTGAGTACAGTATCTAAAACAACAGCTGACCATTTTCACTATCACTTTTACGGACTCCAGTTGTGACGACAGTGAGTCTCCGTGCCACAAAATCAAGTTGGCAGCGAACCCAAATGTAAAAAAAAAAAAGAAAAAAAAAATGTTAAGAGTTAGAAGCGCGGGTTACAGAGTGTTGTACAATGATGTTGAAAAATGTAGTTGTAATGAACACAAGTGCTTTCGGTCTTTCGCGAATCCTAAATGTGTGTAGTAACTTGACATGCTGTATGTTTTCTACAGTGTGGGATTGTTTGCGGTGAAATGCAGCAGTTACTGTCTACTTGGAGTAGATGTTTATTTATATGTCCTGGTTGTCCATCCATGAAAGTGATGTCAAGGCCTATATTTCACAGCATTATTGCAGTATTTACTTTAGGGTTTGTACAAAATGTGCCCTTCTTGTAAAATAAATGTACAGTATGTATTTTTTTTTCCATCAATCTCAGTGACTGAGTGTTCCTTTACAAAGCGCTGCCTGTGTGTGAGTGCCTTTTTGACACTGAGTAGGTATTGGTAGCACTCGCCACAGCTGGGAATCAATAGAAATTGATCACGAATAGTGACACATATTTTTTCCAGTCCTCTGAGCCTGGTGTCCTCACTTCATAGTCCTGTCTTTGCCCCACATTTACGCCAGCTGACAGTGCCTCCACAGACAACGCATCCTGTTTCTTCCGGTATATTCCGAGGTAAATGCGGGCACAGTGGGAAACAAGCTCAAACATTTAGAGCTAATAAGAAACAGTTGCCATGGTGCATGATGTTGCAAGACCTTCACGTGAGTACCTCGCCCTGGTCACGAAGCCAGGAGAAATGTTTCAGCTTAAAATCCAGCAGAGGAAAACACGACTGTGTGAGGTTATACTACTTTAAAAAAAAAAATCAGAGTTTGTTAATATAGATTCAGTGTTGTTTCCTGTCCTGCCTGCAGTCCAGGTCCAAACTCAGAGGAATTTTGTCTAAATGTCTAAAATTACCACAGCAGATAAATGGACGTGCACAGTCTTGACCAACAGACAATACAATGGAAGCAGCAGGTGAGACAATTTCTCCACGTCCTGTTACCTACACCGTCCAATTTAACAACATTTCTGGCAGCTACAGTCCATGTGGAGGCAGACCCCTCGCTCACTCTCTTAGCGTAGGTGTGGATGACAGGTGTGTCACATCTCAGGTTTCTTAGTCTGCCCTTCTCAGCTGGACACCGTTACTTGATCGGAGCGAGGAGGTAAGAGAACGTTGTCTGCTCTGACATTTTTCGATCAATATATTGACTCTGTACAAACGTCATTTACTATTTTCTTTTTGATTGTCAAGTCTTTTTTGCTTACAGCTTACATTTCCACTGAACACAACATTACCTGTTTATTTCTTATTAATTTTTTATTTTTTGATTCGCAGGGTAAACGATGAAAAAAGTCTGTTCCTTTATTTAGGATGTGAATTTTATTTTATTTTTTTTATTTTTCATATGCGTTTCCGTTCGCCACCAGTCTGGATGACACTCTCTGCTGCAGCCAAGGAACGTAATTCCAAAAGCACTGACGGGTAGAATTGTACCAGAAGATATATGATGCACTTAAACAAACAAAGAAGAGTGAAACTGTTATTTACACCACCTCTTAAGCAGTGTCATCTCCACTCCTGCAGAGCTGTCACGAGCCACAGTGGTTTAGAGCTGTTGGAAAATGGAAGATAAATACATATTGATACAAAGAAAAAAATAGAATTCCCTAAATGGCTCGAAGGGTTCAAACGGTCAGCCCTAATCGAAGACAGGGGAGGCAGCGAAGCACCTCGTGATATTTAAAGAGCAGATTTATGATCCTTCCTCAAGGTTCAAACCTGCACCTCTACAATGTATCGGTTTTGAAAAAGGGTAGCTTTGC